TTGACTTAATACACAGAAGGGTGGAAATTTTTGGAATGGAATTTCAAAGATTTCCAACATGTGATGAAGCATTTTATGAATGGACCTCAGGCATATTTGAAACAAAAGTAGTTTTAGTTGTTCCAGTTTTAGTAAAAGAATCTTACGTATATATGGACAAGAGGACAATTTTTAGATGGTTTTCTATAGTTGCTTTTCCATTAATTATCTGGTTACTTTTGCATCTAAGTGACTGGTATTCTTCAAATCTACAATTGATGTACTTAATTCAGATTATATTGGGAATTGTAGTACCTCGAGAGCCAACAAAATTAAAGGAAAAAATTATTTTCGCCGTTTTATTAATTACATGCACATTATATTCTTCAATGATATTTACAGCGCTAACAGATATTGGCTTGCATAAAAAAACGACTTATACCTTAGAAACAATTGATGACGTTTTATCATCAAATTTTTCAACTAAAATAAATAAAAATATTGCTGAATTATTGGAAAATGTTGTAAGTAATACAAGTCAATTGTTATTGAAAAAGGCAATAAAAGTTCATGATACTCCTTCACATTTGGTAAGGCAAGTGTATACAACAAAAAATATAACATGTGTTGCATTTTCAAATAATGCTCAAATTTTATTACAAGATCAAAGAGATCGATGTGATAGGCCAAATGCTAAAATATTGGAAAATGATATCATTACTCAAACATTAAGCGGTACAGTGATGGCAGCAAGATCTCCATATGTCAAAAGGGTAAATGTTTTATTACTACGATTAATTCAATCTGGTGTTACTGAAAAATGGAAGCTCTCTTATGGCAGAAAATTGACTATAAATACAGTTGCGGATTTTTTTTGCTTTCACGGAAACGAGGAATCAGAATATTTATTGTTAAAGTTACTTTTAGTTAGTGGTATTGGATATTCCTTATCTATTTTTTCGTTCTTCATTGAAATGTTCGTACTCTACAGATTGAAACATATTGCTAAGAATTTTAAGTTGACCAAATATTTGCAAAGAAGGTAATGTATTTAATAAAATAATTCCAAAATGTAGAAAAACCACTTTTACAATATGTAATAAAAAAATTTCATTCTTAATTGTTACGTATTCAATATTTTTTCAGGTCTAAGCACCGAAGGTAAATTAAAAATTCTGCATATTTCTTCAGTGTTCTACAGCAAGGTGAATCATTTAATAAAAGAGAGCAAAAATCACTGATATCATATTGTAAGTAATGAATTATTTTAAATTTCATTTAACTAACTTACACTGTTAATTTGAAAGTATCAAATCGCAACGAATTGATAACAATATTTGATACAAATATATAGGTATCAATTTTATCCAAATCGGTATCAAATTGATACAAAATTTGATCCAATTCGGTATCAAATTGATACCTTCAAGAAAACAGTGTATGAGTCGAAAATTTTTATAAATAAAAAAAAAAATTTACAAAAGTAAAATTTTTTCAAACGGAATTCTAAATTTAGCAAACATTTATGAAATAATCAATACATCGAAGGTTTCTTATAGAGTTAAATATATATATATATATATATATATATATATATATCAACTGAAACATTATTGATTTTTGATTCTTTGTTGGGAAAAGAAAATATTATAGAGAAAATTTATAAATTGTTACAGAAAAATATTTAAGCATAAAAAAGAGCATTTTGTATTTTTATAACTATTGTTTTTTGGAAATATAGCTGATAACTGTTTTATTAAAGACATTTAATATTTGTGAGACATCAGCAGTGGGATTACTAATAGCGCTAGTCGCTATGTAGCGCTTTTTGTTATTTAGAATTAAAAACTTACATATTTTTAGTGAAATTCGTTTCAAATCATGGCCAAAATAAAATACCGTTGACAATTTCTTCAAAGCTTAAACTGCAAGATGGTAATTTAGAGTAAACTATAAACATAACTCCTCTAAATAAGGACATTGACAAAGAATTCATGTCAATTTCCTAAAATATTTTATCTACGTAGCAAACAAATACAACATAAAGATGGAATCAATTCTCTATCTTCATGTTTGCCAACTGTTAGTTTCAAATAAAATAATTAACTAGTGACGAAATAAATTATACTTTAATATTGCAAATAACCTATTAATTTAATAAATAACAACTTTAAAAATAAATTATCTAGTTTAATGATAAAATAATTTATAAAGGGAAATAAATTGTTTTAATTTAATTTAATAAATAAAAATTAAGAAAATTAATCTTATTGCAAGAATTAAAAATAATAATTGCATGAGATTTAAAATTAGGACATTCTTTACCAGCCTAAATTTAAAAATTGATAAATTTATTAAATTAATTATTTTTTAATTTTTTAATTAAATTAATTTAAATTTTCATTTTTTGAAAAACTCTTTAACTCACAAAAAATGCCCTATACATTTTTTTTAGTGAACCCTTGCGTGAGAACAAAAATTCTATTTCTGAGGTTATATCTTCAAAATTTTTTTAATTAAATTTTTTTCCCATTTTAGAAAATGTCTAATAGAAACTTTTAATCCTATGAAAAAGATAATAAATATAAATGCAATAAATATTTTATTATTAATATAAACAAGTTGTAAATTCAGATGTTCATTACATGAACATTTTGCTTCCTCTTTACGATCAGCAAAAAAATTTGCTTCCTCGTGGAAAAAGCAAAATTTTATTGCCAAAATGTGAATTTTTGATTTTTTAACTTTCATTAATTCTTTAAATTTACCTTAAATGTATACTTTATATATATCGATCGATTCGTCTTGACGTAAGGAATACGATTTTATTATATATAACCTTAAATTTTTCTATTTAAAAATTTTTTCGATTAAAAAAAAAATTTTGGAAAAAAGACGATAAAATTTTTTTTGGGGTATTTTTCAAAATCCTTTGGTCAGATTTGAGATGTTAATATGATAAATGAGCCTACCAAATTTTATCTAAATCCATTAAAACCTGTTGAAGTTATCTTCTAAACAAAAAATGGATCCACACACACACATACATACATCCGGACAATTGATCAGGATCTCATATAACATGTTTCTATAAAGAAACAAATTTGTTTCCGCCACTTTGAAAAGTTTTATAAACGAAAGGACTACAAAGCTTCCTCCACGAGGAAGCAAAAAGAAAAGTAAATAGTTTATTATTATTGGATAAAGCTGAATTATTTTCTTGATTTTTTGTAAGGATAGAAATTGTAAATAAAAGTGTTAATATAATAATATTAATAATTATCATTGCCTCGAATTGCCTTTTTATAACTTTTGAGATTTGAAGTGTTACACTTGAAAAATTTGTCAGCCTTTTAGATATACTTCTTTTAACCACTTGAGCGTCATGGCGTTCCAACTGGCGTCGTGCGTGGCAGTGACAGAAGCGTCAAAAATGCATAAATGGCGTTCCTACTTGAATTGAATTTGTAAAGTCTGTAGACGTAATTAACTAACTATAACTTACTTTTTATATTTTTTGAGATTAAGCAAAACGTATGTGATAAAAAAAAATTCTTTTTTTAAACATTCAAACAGTTTTTTCGAAATTTAAAGTCGACAATTTTTGGTACTTTTTTGCGAATGGCGTTCTAACATTTACTCAATAAAATCATATTTCTGCTTCCAAAAACTGTGCAAACCACCCAAATCTTGTTACTCGGGGATTTTCGGGGTCGCTGATTACGAATATGAGATCAAATTGACAATTTGACAGTTGACAGCTGTCAATTCAACTGTCAACTTCTATAAAAAACAATTATTTTTTATGAAAATGACTGTATAAGGGTTTTCGGGATCGCTGAACATGAATTTAATGACAAACTTACAATTTGACAGTTGACAGCTGTCAATTCAACTGTCAACTTCTGTAAAAGACAATTATTTTTTATGAAAATAACTGTATAAGGGTTTTCGGGGTCGCTGATTACGAATATGAGATCAAATTGACAATTTGACAGTTGACAGCTGTCAATTCAACTGTCAACTTCTATAAAAACAATTATTTTTTATAAAAATAACTGTATAAGGGTTTTTGGGGTCGCTGATTACGAATATGAGATCAAATTGACAATTTGACAGTTGACAGCTGTCAATTCAACTGTCAACTTCTATAAAAACAATTATTTTTATGAAAATAACTGTATAAGGTTTTTTGGGGTCGCTGATTACGAATATGAGATCAAATTGACAATTCGACAGTTGACAGCTGTCAATTCAACTGTCAAATTTATAAAAAGTGATTAATGTTAATGAAAATAATAGTATAAGGGTTTTCGAGGTCGCTGAATACGAATATGTGGTCAAATTGACAATTTGAAAGTTGACAGCTGTCAATTTAACTGTCGAATTTATAAAGAGTGATTAGTTTTAATGAAAATGTCAATATAATGGTTTTCGGGGTCGCTGATTACGAATGAGGTCAAATTGACAATTAGAGAGTTGACAGCTGCCAATTGAACATTCAATTCTTCTCAAATGTGATTGTTTTTAAGGTAAATGACAGTAATAGGGTTTTCGGGATCGCTGATTTCGAATGATATGTTGGTTTCTTAGTATTGAAAATGGCGGATATCTTACGGTGAACGACATTTATAAAAAGTTTAAAATTTGTCACTTGGGGGCATCTTAAATCGTTGATTATTTAATTTTATAACCTACCTGCATTTGCTAGAAAATAATTTCTACCCAGAGCACGCCACGTGGAGGCTGCAGCAATAGGATTTCGTGCTCCTTTTGTTTTTTTTGTCTTTTTTTATTTTTTATTATTTTTTTTTTTAATTTTTAATTTTTTATTATTTTTTTTTAATTTTTAATTTTTTATTATTTTTTTTTGTTTTTTATTACATTTTTTTAAAAACATATTTTACCCTTTTTAATGCTTCTGTTCTACTACTAAAGCAGGGAGCTGTCACTGGTACTACTACCCTATTTATAATAAATGAAATAAATATTTAAATAAATGCTCTTTGGAAAAACTTGTTTTAGTGAAGGCTATCAAAGCAATTTTTGCAAAGTGGAGTCTCACATTGTCTGCACATCCAAGTAGTGTCAACTCTGATTTTTTTCTCTTCGGAGCAGTTGTGGCATCGTAGGCGCTTGCGTTTATTTTCATTCCCCGTAGGTATTTTCACCAATTCGTGAGTATTTTTTTCAAGAGAAACATTTTTGCTCTGCCTATGAACACCTGTGTTGGACTTCGTGCTATATTTTTCTAAAAGTTCTCTCACAAGTTGTGTTCTGAAATCGCAATGATTCATTTTTTTTTCATGCGAAAGGTTATATATAATATTTGCATTATATATTGTCATGTCCAATAAATTGTCAGCTATTCTTTGGTACCAACGGTAATGCTTTCTTTCTATTTCGTAGGGCTTTATAATTTGATCACATCTGTCAACACCTCCCATGCTTTTATTATACTTCGCGACAACTCCTGGCTTCTTTACCTTTTCACCTGTTTTGTGATCAATTTTTGAGGTTTCGACAAAGTCAGATCCAGGAAGGGTACTCAAAATCGTAACCACTTTCTTATCTTTCCACATGACCACTAGCAAAGTTTCAGAATGGAATATGAGCGTTGAATTGCGCGCAAGTTTATGTAATTTTAAACCCTTCGTATTAGGCATATGTTTTCGGTTCGTTCGAACGGTACCAATAACATTGTTTTTCCTCTCATAAAGGTACGCAAATAGAGAAGGAGAACTGTACCAGTTGTCAAGAAAAAGAGTGCGTCCCTGACCACTCAAATCGACTAAAAGTTTTACAACAACCTTACCAGATACTCCAATCAACTTGTTTTCATCTGCTGGATCTTTGCCTACATAAATTGAAGCGTTGTATATGTAACCGTTCTCCGAATCGCAGCATTTGTAAATTTTTATTCCGAAACGCGATCTTTTACTCAAAATACATTGCTTAAAGGATAAGCGACCTTTATACTTCAATAAAGACTCATCAATACTTACGTTTTCTCCAGGTCTGTAAGCGTACCTAAACTTTTCTATCAGAATTTCAAACATAGGCCGAATTTTACGCAATTTATCTGTTGACTCATCATCTGAATAATGCAAAAATGTATTTATTAATGAAAATCGTCTTATAGACATGTACTGAGCAAAAACAGGTGTCGTTAGCAAGGGGTCAGTTGACCAATACATTTTAAGTGATGGTTTTCTTATAATTCCCATCAGAATTGTCAACGCATAATAAGTGTACAATTCTGTAGGATCCAAATTTTTCCATGACTTAAATCTGGAATTACTTTTCAGTTTATCAGATTCTCGAAGTGACTCAATTTTCATGTCAGAATAAATATTTGTCATAGCACAAACCATTTCCATGACTTCGGAAGAATAAAAAATTTCAAAAATTTCAATTGGCTTAGTTTCTGAATTGAAATTTAAGTCTGGGTTAAGTCCTGCTTTAGAATCATTAAACTCATGAATAACAGGATTGAAATTACCAGCTTTCGACCATAAAAAATTTTTATTAAAAGTTTCTCTTCGAATTTGTAAAGGTGTATCTGATTCTTCGCAAGACGATTCACTTTCAGTACTACTGTACTGAAGAGTGAAATCATCGTCGCTACTTGTATCACTAGTTTCGGAATCAGAAAGATAAGTCTCATCCATCTTGCACCCTTGTGAACGTTTCAGGTCCTCTTATCAGAAAAAGAATGCATATCCAGACAGTTGAACAGTAAAATTGGTTGGGCGCACCAGCGCATTCCAGTTTCATTGCGCAGGCGCGCCCCACCACTCTCACGTGAGAGAAGTGAAAAGAATGCACATCCAGACAGTTGAACAGTAGTGTTTAACTGTCTGGATGTGCATTCTTTCTTTGAGAAGAAGATCTGAAACGTTCACAAGAGAGCAAGATGGTTGACACTTATCTTTCTGATTACGGAATTAGTGATACAAATAGCGACGATGATTCCAATTTTCAATACAGTATTCCTGAGTACAGATCGACTTGCAAATAATAAGATAACTTCAATTTCAATCCTTTTATTCGTGAATTTAGTGTTTAATTCTGAAACCAAGCCAATTGAAATGTTATTATTTTATTTTTGTTCTTTCGATGTCATACAAATGGTTTGCGCTATGGAAAATATTTATTTTGACAGGAAAGTTGGGTCACTTTGAGAATCGAATAATTTGAAATGTAAATCCGGATTTAAGTCTTGGAAAAATTTTGATCCTACATAAATGTACACTTATAACGCGCTGATAATTCTAATGGGAATTATAATAAAACCATATGATAAAAATATATTGATCTACTTTTCTTTTGCTATCAACATAAGTGTTCTCGATTATTATGTCTTCAAGACGATTTGAATTAATAAATGCATTTTTACATAATTCAGTTGACGATTCGACATATAAATTATCCAAATTTGTTCTCTCCTTCAAATGATGATAAAAAATATAAACACGCTTACAGACTTGAAGAAAAGTTAAGTATCGATGAGTCCTTGTCGAAATAAGAACGTCACTTATTTTTTAAACCCTTAACACGAGCTTGATATAAAACTGACAACTTGATAATTATTCACGTGAGAAATAATGACTTTTTAGAAAAATTAACTATTGAATTGACAGCAACCAACTGTGAATAACATACTGTGAATAACTGTATAACATATATGCGACCCCTTTTTGTAAAAGTGTACAGTTCAATTGACAATTGTGAAATCGTCAATTTGACATCGTATACGTAATCAGCGACCCCAAAAACCCATCTATACTTATTTTCATTAAAAATAATCACTTTCTAGAAAACTTGACAGGTGATTTGACAGCTGTCAACTGTCAATTTGACATTATATTCTTAATCAGCGACACCGAGAACACGTTATATACAGATATTTTCATGAAAAATAATCACTTTTTAGGAAAATTGACAGTTGACTTGACAGCTGTCAAATTGTCAATTTGACATTATTTTCGTAATCAGCAACCCTAAAAACCCGTAATACTGTTATTTTCTTTAAGAATAAACAGTTTTTATAAAAGTTAACAGCTGATTTGACAGCTGCCAACTATCAAATGGTTAATTTAACATCAAATTCGTAATCAGCGACCCCAAGAACCCTTATTCAGTTATTTTCATAAAAAATAATTGTCTTTTATAGAAGTTGACAGTTGAATTGACAGCTGTCAACTGTCGAATTGTCAATTTGATCTCATATTCGTAATCAGCGACCCCAACAACCCTTATTCAGTTATTTTCATAAAAAATAATTGTCTTTTATAGAAGTTGACAGTTGAATTGACAGCTGTCAACTGTCGAATTGTCAATTTGATCTCATATTCGTAATCAGCGACCCCGAAAACCCTTATACAGTCATTTTCATAAAAAATAATTGTTTTTTATAGAATTTGACAGTTGAATTGACAGCTGTCAACTGTCAAATTGTCAATTTGATCTCATATTCGTAATCAGCGACCCCGAAAACCCTTATACAGTTATTTTCATAAAAAATAATTGTTTTTTATAGAAGTTGACAGTTGAATTGACAGCTGTCAACTGTCAAATTGTCAATTTGATCTCATATTCATAATCAGCGACCCCGAAAACCCTTATACAGTTATTTTCATAAAAAATAATTGTCTTTTACAGAAGTTGACAGTTGAATTGACAGCTGTCAACTGTCAAATTGTCAATTTGATCTCATATTCGTAATCAGCGACCCCGAAAATCCCCGAGTAACAAGATTTGGGTGGTTTGCACAGTTTTTGGAAGCAGAAATATGATTTTATTGAGTAAATGTTAGAACGCCATTCGCAAAAAAGTACCAAAAATTGTCGACTTTAAATTTCGAAAAAACTGTTTGAATGTTTAAAAAAAGAATTTTTTTTTATCACATACGTTTTGCTTAATCTCAAAAAATATAAAAAGTAAGTTATAGTTAGTTAATTATGTCTACAGACTTTACAAATTCAATTCAAGTAGGAACGCCATTTATGCATTTTTGACGCTTCTGTCACTGCCACGCACGACGCCAGTTGGAACGCCATGACGCTCAAGTGGTTAATTGCTTCATTTCTTACATTATGGGAAATCCTTATGAATTTGATACATTCTTGATTCTAAAAAAAAATTGTTAAATTATAAAATAAAGCAAATATGAGAAAAAAAATACACAGAAAAACAATTGTACCAACCTAAATCTATTAAAATGATAACATTTTTTTAAGTCACCCGATAGCTAGAAAATTTTTTGATGTGAATGTAGCTTTGAATCGCTACGTAGCAAAATCTTCGTAGCGCTGTCGCTATTTGTAATCCCACTCCAGTTCTACAATTTTTGATACAAAATAATAAAAAATTAATTATTTTTTAAAATAGGAAACACTGAAATTCGAGCACTTAATAGAAGAAACTAATCTGTACAAGAATCGTTGCCCGATAAATTTAGAACTATCTACGAAGCTACTTATGCTACGTTTCTTGAGTGGGAAAAACAACAAGGAATATGGCAATCTTTTTTTTTTTTTTTGAAGTTGTGCTAAATAACATTAACATTGAGAGTTGCAAAAAATTATTAGCTGTGTTACGTCATGGCATAGAAATAAAGGTATATTTTTGAAATCGAATGTGAATTTTGAAAATGAGTTATGAATATTTCTCTTGACGATAGTTGGTTTATTTTTTGGTCTGATGTCCTCTAAGGTTTGCACTACGCTTTCACACTATCCAGATATTAATCACGATATTAATGTTCTGTATAAATTTAAACTTTTATTGCGTTATGAGATTGTTTCACGATTGTTTACTATTCGCGAGCAGACGCAGCCATATTGAAAACTCTGCAGTATTTCGCTTTTCCGCTAGAAAGAGAAAATAGGTTAGGTTTCAGTTGAAATGTTTGTTTATTTAACGAACTTACGCACACAATGAATCCATGACGAATACAAATTAATACACAAAAGTTTCATAGAGAAGAAAAATTAAAATTATATATTAACAATTACAGAATTGTCATTTCTAAGAATGAAAGATCTTTTATTGCACTCATTCATTTTAAATGCTTTATTTATTGAGATCTTAAATTTTTAGGAATTAAGATCCTTAAGTGTATCGAGATACTCTTTCCAGTTTAGGCGTTTTCTTTAATGAAACAGCATTTATGATATGTTTTTATAGATACTGTATATATGTGTATCACCGATAGCCGATATGTATTTTTGTAATTGTGAAAATAAAATGCGTGTGACATTAGTCAATTTTAGATTGTTGATAGATATATTTTTGAATTTTAATGTTAATTAGAGTGGCGACTTAAATGTGACTTTTGAAGATAAAATAAGTACATCATGTTTCTATAAGCTGAGATTGTGGGACAGAAAATAATAAGGAGGCAATGAAAGCGTTTCTTGATTTTGTAAATTTGTCGACTATGACTGACCAATCAGTATAGTTTCATGACATTTAACAAATACTCCGGAGGACAAATTTGATAAGTTGTATTTTTTTATGCCCCACTGAAAATTCCGGCTCCGTTTCCTAAGCCGGATTCATAATATTTTCATTACAACGGAGATTATTTAAATGTGAAATTGTGTTTAATTAAGAAACAGTTTGCGATGACATCACCTATCAATCGTAAACTCTTAATTGTGTGATATATGTCCCACAATGGAACGATTCTAATACATATATTGCACACAAAGATGTGTGAAGAAGAAGGAATAATTTGTTTTTTTTTTTTTTTTTTTGCTCATATCATTTTTATCAAGTGCACGTGACGCTATGTAAGGAAAGAACTCGTGTAAACTGTCGAAACGTCAATAAATTTAATGGGAACATGGCGTGGCACCCGAAAGAACGTATTTTGAACTGACATGGTACATATATTCGAACTGACAAAAATGTTCGCAGTGGAGGTTGATCATGGAACCGTGCTGTGTGATCACAAGACGAGTCACTCCTTTAGTTGGCTCACTCCCTCGCTCTCTCTATATATATACGTATATATAAAGTTTCGAAAAAATCACTTCCCACGTCCCGAAATGCTTTTGCTTTTCAATTTGACCCCACCCGAGGCGTTATTACCTCTTGTTAGACGAAAGACCCGATTCTAACTCACCAACAGACATGTGCGTGTTTCTCTGACTCATGTGAACGCCGTTTAACCCACTTCCGATTCACGCGCGCAGAAGTCGATTAAGTATTATATCAATTTTTAAAATAGTTTTACAAAACTTTCTATATGAATTAATATTTTTAATTTTCCATCACCTTTCTATTTTTAATACTATTATTAAAAGGACAATTGACAAAATATAAACATTTTTTGTTGATCCTAAATCAGTGGATAATGGTTCTAAAATTCTATATTAATTATTATTATTAGTGATCATTATACTTTTTTTTTACTGAAAGTGAATCCATTAATTTATAGCAGCCTCTAATTAAATTATCTGCATAATTAGCAAAGTATTAATTAATCAACAAGTGCCCTACATTGTTGAGAGGAAAAAAAAAGTTGGCATACCGATAAAAGGAATGCACTATCAATAACTGTTATTAAATTACCGGTCACGATTTTATTGCTATTTGATGGCAGCAAAATAGTGAGTAATTTGGATCATATATATGTATATGTGACCTGCACCAGCTGGGA